CGCAGAGCAGCCAATACATGGATAGGTAGAAAAGTACGATGAAGAGATGAAAATAAAATAGCGCGACGTGCCCGTTTTACAGATTTTATTATTCTTTTTCTGCTTCTTCTTTTTCTACCTCAGTCTTGTCTGTGGCGGCTTTTGTTGCCTGGCTTACTCAGTGCTAGACTTCTTAACGGCTTTCACGCACACAAACACACACACACGCACACGCACACAGAGTGAGAGAGAAGCACATACACACTTGACAAGCTCTCGTGTCAGCCTCAACGTCCACAACGCGCTGCAGTCGAAAACAAACTGAAAGCTTTGCGGGGCTATCAGCAGCCGGCAGGTCGTAACGCCGTTGAATTGTATTGAAATGTGCGGCTTCGTGAGACCCTATCAAACTTGCGGCGAATTCAGCAAACGTTGATCGATCAGTGCTGCCAATATAGCCATTTTCTAGCTAGATTTGGCTGTTTTCAAAGTTCTTCAGCCGCACACAGTTGACATTTCAAGCTGTTTTGAGCAGACAAAAAGCTGATTCATTATTATAGCTATTTTTAACATGAAAATCGGCGACAGTTGGCCACACTTTTATGGCCCTGGTCACTGCGTGAGCTTAGCCCAGGCAGCGAGATTAGCTGCTAGTTCATTGGAAAATCTTACTAATTACCTTGCAATGCGTACACATGTGCCTTTTATGTTGGGTTTTTTTTCGTTTTTGGTGGGCAACTGTTTTCAAATATTTAGCTGTCTGGGCCAGGACTTGGGCCTGAGCCATAAACTGTGTGTGAGAATCCTGTACGTGCGAAATGGCAAACGGAAGCGGTATCTACTAATCCAGCGCATTTGTTGCCTCCTTTATTGTAGCAATTGAACACAGCCAAAGACTTGTCCAACGAGCTGTGCCATAATGGTGCAAGCAAAGAGAACCGAAAGAGGTTGCAACAGGAAATCGCACTAAAGTGCTTGCTCAACAAAATATAAGAGATTTTTACGGGACGCCACTTAAATTGTAAAGGATTCTCTGCTCTTGTTATTTAGGATCTCGTAATGGTTATTCCTTAATGAATGTTGAGCACTAACGAGACAAGATAATGATGCAACAGAAATGAAATTAACGTATTTATATTATGAGGTAATTGAAATTAGAGCAGGTATACACAAATTTGATTCTCGACCTATTCACTTGACTTTGTTCGCATCGTTTGGTTTCCCTTATTTGAAATCTTTTACTAGAAATACACTAAGGAATGAACCAACCGGTCTAAAATGATATTATTTGGGATATTTTAAAGTAATTCAAAGCATCATTTAGAAAGCTGACTAAATCAAAAATCGCAGACCAATTCAATTCAACACAATGCAAGCAAGGCATAAGAACTTGCAAGTCCGACTTGAATTTATGAGAATCGCATAGTAGAGCGATGTTTAAAACGCCCTTGTTTAAATTATCCGAGCTGCTGGGGCTGTTAATAAAAAAGAGACCTACGGTTGGTCTGCATTTGGTATCCTATATAAACACTAAGCATTACCCGGCCTTGCCCGGACCAAGTTATTATGTTCCAAATGAAAACATCACGTGGAAAAATTGTAATCTTTTCGTGCTACTCTGAACCCCCATTTGCTAATAGATATTTGTATGGTATATTTGGTGGTAATTTAGATACATTATATAGGAGCTATGTTTGAGTAACCCAGTAGGGCAAGTGACAAACCCTTTTACGCATCGCTTAATAGCCGCTAGCACAGGTCAAATGTATATTTTCGTTACAGACAAAACGCATTAGGCCGTAGCCTTGGAATGGAGAGAGCTCCGCCATTGACAAAGACAAGTGACACTTGGACAATTAGCCCGTTGAGGCGAACCGTCGGCAAATATTGCAGAACAGAACGGAAGTGCCATATAAAGCTGGCTAGAGGCACACGCATGCGCAATGAGTTCTTGGCCGGAGTGCGTGTGGCTTGAACAACTTATATATATAGAGAAAGTTTTGACATTTGTGTTCGTTCAGTTTGGAATTGTAATAAGGCCCGGTAAATAACAAATTTACAATCAAAATTTAAAAATTCAGAAAATGCGACTTTTCGGCTCTTCTAAATGCAGATAGTCCATACAAATTAGACGGGAAATGGGAAAAACGGGATCACGAAAGAGTTATAAATCGCCTAGATTAATAAACCACCCAAAACGCCAAAGGTACTATATATTAGCAATTGGATTAACCATCTTGCCTGGCATATTTGTTGGCGGCATGATAGCCAAGTATGTGGCACATTTTCTGGACACAACTGGCCTGTTTTCGCCTGAAGAGCTGGATGACTATGAAGATTGAGAATTGCAGACGTGCTGTGATTGCTCGTCCAGGTAATCCACTTGCCACATGTACATGGACTTACATAAGACAGACTCAGCCCGTTAAATCGTATTACTAAGAACATATAAAATTTCTAATTTTATGTAAACCAACCAGATCTGCATTGGAAGACTCAAGAAGTTAATGAAATGTGTAAATTTCAGCATATGAAATATGATACAATTTTATTTTATCATTGGACACCCGTCATTTAACTTTCTTGGGCTGGAAAAATTTTATTATTACATGACTTGCACTTCGAGATGCTTTGTTTCATAGTTTAACCATTTAGTTTGAACTATTTTCAGGCAAAATATTTGTAGAATCCATATTTATATGTTTACTTGTAGACGGCTATTTTCAATGAAAAACAAAACAGCTAAACCAAAATATGAGTCAAATCTCATGAGCATCAAACTACTATATCATGTAGTTCTTATATGAATAATAGAAGTTTTTAAAACTTCAAATCATTCTTGAAAAGTATTTTATATTAGGCACTCTGAACTTAACTCTTTAGTTTTGCATATATCTATTTCCCAAGAAATAAGCCTTATATAAACAAAATTTAATGTGGGAGCTCTTTAACGCTTATAAAAAAAATTGTAAGCGTTGAATAGTTTTAAAAAATGCAAAGTGATAATAAATATATTCTCAGGAATTACTGAAATTTTAAATTTAAACATTTTCCAACACTATTCAACGTCTATTATAGCCGTGTTATTTCACACGCGCGCACTTTCGATAAGTGTGACCATAAATATAATATATCAATTTTTCAGAATAGCAAAGCGCGCAGTTAACAACTTTCCAACACTGCTCAAAAGCTCGCAAGCAATAGTAATCAGTGTGACCACAAATAAAATGTCTCAAATAATTAGTGTTGCAAAATGTAAAGCGCGCAGCTTTTTCATTTTGAAAATTAAAAAGCTCACATATGCAACGAACCAGATTTATTAAGCTTTTCAAACGCACCCAGCTTCGGCACATTTGGATAATATTTACTAATTAATGGCAGTAAAATCCATTAATTGACTTTTATGTTGCCGCTGTTTTTGAGTCATAAAAATTACTATATATATGTATATATATTGTGTATGTTAAATATGTTAAATGAAACAATGCTCACTGATAAAGCACTACAATTTGTCATATTAAAATGATAATTCTTGGCACAGATTAAATATGCGAAATCTTTGAAAACCTGTTATATTGGCTGCCACAAAGTGTATATCGTTAAAGCCTATCTCAAAAATTGTAGGTTTCGCAGTTGCTTTTCCTATGGCAATAATTGATTAATTAGACGAGCCAAAAATAGCCGAAAATGCCAGCCATTTCGGAGACGTGCGTTGTTTTTTTTTGCGAATCTCGCTGATTATTTTGTTTGATTTTTTTTGTTTGTTTATGTGACGTTTTAAAGACTTTCGTGTTTAAAACGGTTTTCAAACACGCCCCTCATGCATGGCCGCTGGCCAGGTCAACAGATTAGGGCTTTAAAGTAGGCTATGCAAATGTGTGTGTGCGAGTGTGTGTGTGTGCGTGTGTGCGTCGCTTGATTTGATTTTGTTTCAAGTGAAACATGCCATCCGAATTGCATGTATTAAGCATTAACCAATATGCATTTTACCATAAATACAAGCAAATTAATCAGGTTTTGTCGGCCGACCGAAGGTCGCCCGAACAATACAATACACATGCTCCTCTAAAAACCAGACGCCAAGTAAAGCAAAAGGTGTTGAGCCCCCCCAAAAAAAACAAAAAAATGAAGAGAAAAGAGAAATAAAAACGCCAACTAATGCAACGATTGGGTAAAAGTGGCCGCCGCTGAATATTCGCAAAGGCACACGAATTCAGCTTGTAAATAACTAAAATAACAATTAAAACACATAAGGCCCTGGCAACAATGATGTCTACTATGGTAACCGGAGTCGAATTGAATTTAATCATGCGTCTGAGCTGGCTGGCATAGTTTATCCTTGAGCTGGACAAGCCAGGCGTGCAGCTGCGCATCCATTAGCACCGGGGTCTCGTAGCAAACAAATTAGCGTCCAATAAACATTTAGTCATACTTAATGCATAAATGCATGAAATGGGCTAATAAACTTTGACATTTGCCCTTACTGCTATTTGAGCCTGGTCTAGAGGGCCTCAGTTTGCCGTTTGATTAATAACATATGCAAATGCTTTGGCTTGTTTTCCGCTGTAGCTGTGGCGCATTCAGCTGATTTCTAGCTAAATTCGGTTTTTTTAAAAGACAACCGTTTTGCCTGGTTTACGGATTTAGCCACTTTTTTTTTGCTTGATTAACATATGCTTTGGCCCTTTCAGCTGCTTTCCAGCTAAAATGGGGCTTATCTTAAAGCCAACAGTTCTGCCTTGTAAACAGACTTAGCTGCTTTTTTTTTGGCTTGATTAACATATGCAAATGCTTTGGCGTCTTTTCCGCTGTAGCTGTGGCGCTTTCAGCAGATTTCTAGCTAAAATGCGGCTTTAAAGCCAACAGTTTTGCCTTGTTAACAGATTTAGCTTCTTTTTTTTTTTTTGGCACAGCAATAACAAGTGCTTGCTGCTTTGTTTATGTGTGCACAGAAGGCTAATTCAGCTATTTGCAGATATTTGTTTATTTTTTGTATAACACGGCATTCAACTATTCTGCAGTTGGCAACACTGGCGCAGCGCCCTATTGACATTGCAAAACCTAGAGCTGGCCACGCATTGGATGAGCCCAGCAGCTGATGCTGCGCTAGAGACGGCGAAAGAGAGAGACAGAGAGCGAGAGATTTTGATCTGCGTGCGCGCTCACTTGGGCAACAGACGAAGTAGGCGAAGACTTAACCATTTAACCGTATTAAACCCTTTTCTTCGAGTGTAGCTGCGGCGTGTTTGTGGTAAGTTTTGGGATATATAAACGCGGGCGCATCTGCTGCTGGCCATCATTCAGCGTCTGGTCTTTTGGTCAAAAGCGTCGAAAAGCTAAAATCCAACAAGCTTTACAAGCGTAGCAACAACAACAACAACAACAACAATGGTGAGCACAACAACAGCAACAAGTAGTGCACAATTTCCACACACGCACACATCCATCAAGATGCTTGAAGCTGACCTTAAATCTAGTTTGCCTTTAACATTGGCCCGCCAATTAACTAGTCACACACACTAATCGCACGCGTCCACGGATTTTTAATCGGTTTTTTAATTGCTTTTTTTCGTGCTTTGCAGAAATTCTTCGTTTTGGCTGTGTGCGCCATTGCCGCGGTGTCGGCCGATGTCTCGCACCTGAATCTGGGCGGCAACAATGGCTACTCGTACGATAGGCCAAGTCAGTCGTTTGACATTGACATCCGTTCGTCAGCGGGCGCTTCCTACTCGGCGCCAGCTCCGGGTCCATCGTACTCGGCGCCAGCTCCGGGTCCATCATACTCGGCACCAGCTCCGGGTCCATCGTACTCGGCGCCCGCACCTGCACCTGAGTATCTGCCACCTGTGCAAAATTTTCCCGCTCCTGCACCCGCTCCAGTCTACTCGGCACCAGCTCCGGCTCCAGTCTTCTCGGCTCCTGCTCCCGAATACAGTGCTCCAGCTCCAGTTCAGCCTGCACCCGAGTATTTGCCCCCTGCTCCTGCTTACTCTGCTCCTGCTCCAGCACCAGTCTTCTCGGCTCCGGCACCCGAATACAGCGCTCCTGCTCCAGTTCAGCCTGCTCCCGAGTATCTGCCACCTGTGCAGGACATTCCCGCTCCAGCGCCCGCTCCAGTCTACTCGGCTCCCGCTCCAGCTCCAGTCTACTCGGCACCCGCTCCAGGTCCTGTCTACTCAGCTCCCGCTCCCGAATACAGCGCTCCAGCTCCCGCACCTGAGTACCTGCCCCCTGTGCACGACATTCCCGCTCCAGCACCCGCGCCCGTTTACTCCGCACCCGCTCCCAGCTATTCAGCCCCTGCACCCGCACCGGTCTACTCCGCCCCAGCACCAGCTCCAGTCTACTCCGCCCCAGGCGGCGAGTCCAATGGCTACGAGTACAATGTGCCAGCCAAACGCTTCCGTTTCTAAGTGCATTCACCATGCAGCATCGCCTCATCTAAGGAGCGCCGTTTGTTAAATTAACAAGTGGCCTCCGTCTCCCTGTTGTTGATCATTTGTTGTTATTATTATGCAAAGTTTCTGTTGAGATTTCTAGCTAATAAATAAAATTAAATAATATATAAAATTAAATAACCAAATACTCTCTCTCTCTTTCTCTTTTCCCCATTCGCGATTCGCTTCGGTCGTTGCGTGATTTCCACGATCGTAAAATTCGAGTGTCCACAAAAATCCCCACCTTGTTATGCAAATCTTTCGCGCAAATGAGGACAATCAAAAGTAATATAATAAAAAAACGAAACGAAACTTGTTCACAAAATTAATGTCAACGAATCGCCTGGAAAAGATATCTTTGGCGAGACATTCGCACGTCCCTCAATTAAACTCTTCCACATGTCTCATTAAATTCCAATTACTCTTTGGTAAGTTTTTCGTTATGTTATTTCCACGTTAATTATAATTTGGTTGCATTTGCTTATTATCAAAGCATAAACAAATTGATGCTTCGAATATATTCAAATATTTAGTTTGTCAAATTAATTATTAGTTTTGGAAATAAAATAAAATGAATATAGCGAATTATTGTAACTATTTAATCGAAATCAGTTCAAAGAAGGTAGAAACTGAAAACCTTTTTCAACATTTTTCATATTTTGATTAAAAAACGAGAATGAAGAACTTCACACCCAAAATGTAATACCCTTGTAGACTTTTCCCTTTTGCAGATATGTGAAAATAGTTAAGCCCGTAAATGCTAACTTTAATAAAAAGATATCTTTGAAAAGAGAAAACAGAACCTACTTTTCGACTGATCGTTCCTATGACAGCTTTATAATATAGCGATTAGATCCGGCCGGTTCCGATATTTGTACTGCCCGGAACAAAAAGGAACCTATGCAAACTGACAGACAGAATCACATGGACATGGCTGTTGATGCTGATATGGAATATATATACTTTATGGTGTCGGAGATGTCTTTTTTATGCGTTACACATTTGGTGACAAAACTCTAATACTCTCTACAAGAGTATAAAAGAAGATTAAAAAACATTTTGATACGATTTCTGATATATATAAAAAAAAAAGGAGGAAGCCCATAATTTCTGTGATTTATCTGGATATCTCGGGCACCAAAAAACTTGTTCATACAAGAACTTAACCTTTAACCAATATGTTTTTACTGATATATATTATATGTAGACATAATATATATATATATATATATAAATATTAAATTTCTTGCGAAAAGGGATACGCTTTTTACTAACCAATCATCTAAATAAACTAAAACCAAGTAAGAGGTTCTAGTCGGGAGCTCCCGACTTGGGGATACCCTGAACCCTCTTCTTCCAACATCAAATGCATATATATATTCTATTTAAGAAGCTATATGTCAAGTTTGGTGACTCTAGTTCTTATTATTTACCAAAATTGCCCAAAAAACAGGATATCGATATCGATTTTTATCGATTGCTTGGAAACGGAGTAAGTTATCGATTATCGGAAACAAACTCGATCTACGCGGGAGCTAGGAGCACCTACATCTAATTTCAAGTCTCTAGCTCTTATAGGTTCTGAGATCCTTGCGTTCATACATAGTGACAGACGGACGGACGGACGGACGGACGGACAGACAGACGGACAGACAGACGGACACGGCTAGATCGACTCGGCTATTGATGCTGATCAAGAATATATATACTTTATGGGGTCGGAGATGCTACCTTCTGCCTGTTACATACATTTGGCTCTCGCACAAATACAATATACCCTTATACCCATTTTTAATGGGTTCAGGGTATAAAAAGCCAAACTTCGTGAAAATCGGATGAGATTTGGCCGAGATATGGGGGTGGTAATTTTTGGCCCATGTCTATATACAAATCTTGGGGTAAGACTTGAACATAAATTTCGACCAAAAAATCGGTGTCGAGATTTGAATGCCAGATTAATCTAGAGGGAAAACCATGAAGAAAAATCCAAACTTCGTGAAAATCGGATGAGATTTGGCCGAGATATGGGGGTGGTAATTTTTGGCCCATGTCTATATACAAATCTTGGGGTAAGACTTGGACATAAATTTCGACCAAAAAATCGGTGTCGAGATTTGAATGCCAGATTAATCTAGAGGGAAAACCATGAAGAAAAATCCAAACTTCGTGAAAATCGGATGAGATTTGGCCGAGATATGGGGGTGGTAAATTTTGAACCATGTCTAGATACGAATCTTGGGGTAAGATTTGGACATGAATTTCGACTAAAAAATCGGTGTTCAGATTTGAATGCCAGATTAATCTAGAGGGAAAACCATGAAGAAAAAGCCAAACTTCGTGGAAATCGGATGAGATTTGACCGAATTATGGGGGTGGTAATTTTTGACCAATGTCTATATACTAATCTTGGGGTAAGATTTGGACATGAATTTCGACTAAAAAATCGGTGTTCAGATTTGAATGCCAGATTAATCTAGAGGGAAAACCATGAAGAAAAAGCCAAACTTCGTGGAAATCGGATGAGATTTGACCGAATTATGGGGGTGGTAATTTTTGACCAATGTCTATATACTAATCTTGGGGTAAGATTTGGACATGAATTTCGACTAAAAAATCGGTGTTCATATTTGAATGCCAGATTATTCTAGAGGAAAAACCATGAAGAAAAATCCAAACTTCGTGAAAATCGGATGAGATTTGGCCGAGATATGGGGGTGGTAAATTTTGAACCATGTCTAGATACGAATCTTGGGGTAAGATTTGGACATGAATTTCGACTAAAAAATCGGTGTTCAGATTTGAATGCCAGATTAATCTAGAGGGAAAACCATGAAGAAAAAGCCAAACTTCGTGAAAATCGGATGAGATTTGACCGAGTTATGGGGTGGTAATTTTTGACCAATGTCTATATACGAATCTTGGGGTAAGATTTGGACATGAATTTCGACTAAAAAATCGGTGTTCAGATTTGAATGCCAGATTAATCTAGAGGGAAAACCATGAATAAAAAGCCAAACTTCGTGGAAATCGGATGAGATTTGACCGAGTTATGGGGGTGGTAATTTTTGACCAATGTCTATATACGAATCTTGGGGTAAGATTTGGACATGAATTTCGACTAAAAAATCGGTGTTCAGATTTGAATGCCAGATTAATCTAGAGGGAAAACCATGAAGAAAAAGCCAAACTTCGTGGAAATCGGATGAGATTTGACCGAATTATGGGGGTGGTAATTTTTGACCAATGTCTATATACTAATCTTGGGGTAAGATTTGGACATGAATTTCGACTAAAAAATCGGTGTTCAGATTTGAATGCCAGATTAATCTAGAGGGAAAACCATGAAGAAAAAGCCAAACTTCGTGAAAATCGGATGAGATTTGACCGAGTTATGGGGGTGGTAATTTTTGACCAATGTCTATATACGAATCTTGGGGTAAGATTTGGACATGAATTTCGACTAAAAAATCGGTGTTCAGATTTGAATGCCAGATTAATCTAGAGGGAAAACCATGAATAAAAAGCCAAACTTCGTGGAAATCGGATGAGATTTGACCGAGTTATGGGGGTGGTAATTTTTGACCAATGTCTATATACGAATCTTGGGGTAAGATTTGGACATGAATTTCGACTAAAAAATCGGTGTTCAGATTTGAATGCCAGATTAATCTAGAGGGAAAACCATGAAGAAAAAGCCAAACTTCGTGGAAATCGGATGAGATTTGACCGAGTTATGGGGGTGTTAATTTTTGACCAATGTCTATATACGAATCTTGGGGTAAGATTTGGACATGAATTTCGACTAAAAAATCGGTGTTCAGATTTGAATGCCAGATTAATCTAGAGGGAAAACCATGAAGAAAAAGCCAAACTTCGTGGAAATCGGATGAGATTTGACCGAGTTATGGGGGTGGTAATTTTTGACCAATGTCTATATACTAATCTTGGGGTAAGATTTGGACATGAATTTCGACTAAAAATCGGTGTTCAGATTTGAATGCTAGATTAATCTAGAGGGAAAACCATGAAGAAAAAGCCAAACTTCGTGAAAATCGGATGAGATTTGACCGAGTTATGGGGGTGGTAATTTTTGACCAATGTCTATATACGAATCTTGGGGTAAGATTTGGACATGAATTTCGACTAAAAAATCGGTGTTCAGATTTGAATGCCATATTAATCTAGAGGGAAAACCATGAATAAAAAGCCAAACTTCGTGGAAATCGGATGAGATTTGACCGAGTTATGGGGGTGGTAATTTTTGACCAATGTCTATATACGAATCTTGGGGTAAGATTTGGACATGAATTTCGACTAAAAAATCGGTGTTCAGATTTGAATGCCAGATTAATCTAGAGGGAAAACCATGAAGAAAAAGCCAAACTTCGTGAAAATCGGATGAGATTTGACCGAGTTATGGGGGTGGTAATTTTTGACCCATGTCTATAAACGAATCTTGGGGTAAGATTTGGACATGAATTTCGACTAAAAAATCGCTGTTCATATTTGAATGCCAGATTATTCTAGAGGAAAAACCATGAAGAAAAATCCAAACTTCGTGAAAATCGGATGAGATTTGGCCGAGATATGGGGGTGGTAAATTTTGAACCATGTCTAGATACGAATCTTGGGGTAAGATTTGGACATGAATTTCGACTAAAAAATCGGTGTTCAGATTTGAATGCCAGATTAATCTAGAGGGAAAACCATGAAGAAAAAGCCAAACTTCGTGGAAATCGGATGAGATTTGACCGAGTTATGGGGGTGGTAATTTTTGACCAATGTCTATATACTAATCTTGGGGTAAGATTTGGACATGAATTTCGACTAAAAAATCGGTGTTCAGATTTGAATGCCAGATTAATCTAGAGGGAAAACCATGATTAAAAAGCCAAACTTCGTGGAAATCGGATGAGATTTGACCGAGTTATGGGGGTGGTAATTTTTGACCAATGTCTATATACGAATCTTGGGGTAAGATTTGGACATGAATTTCGACTAAAAAATCGGTGTTCAGATTTGAATGCCAGATTAATCTAGAGGGAAAACCATGAAGAAAAAGCCAAACTTCGTGGAAATCGGATGAGATTTGA